AAATAAAATAAAATAAAATAAAATAAAAGGTGTGGTTACCTCAGAACTCAAATCTTTTAAGTAACAGTAATAACAGTCTGGAAGCAGGTGGCATAAGCAGGTTGTCAAAGGGCTTGTGCTCATTTTATATTTATCCACAACTTGTGTTCTATAAAGTGTCATGAAAAAAAACCCCAAAACCCATGCTCTAAAATTAAATCCGGTATTTGCCAATCCAGCCAAAGACACTCCCTGTTCACATAACCTTGAAGTCATTTTTCAGGCTTAAAAATATTAGTTTGATTAGTTTGGCTCCCCCCCAACCTGCCACTGTTAAAAAATAAATACTCTGCAGAAACACTTCTTCAGTCAAGCAGAAAAACAGATGCAGAATGGAAGCCCTAAAAAAAACCCCTCCTAGAATTTAAACAAAAAGAGGGTGACTAAAGTGTGAGTTTGTGTCTGAAACATCTTTTTGTCTGTTTAGACCTGTGAGAGAAAGGGGGAGGGAAATGCATATCTATGAGAAGCAGGGTTTAGGACACTTTCATAAGGATGTTGTCTTGATACAGCCCCAGTATTGCACAGAGATGTCACAGCTCAGAAGACAATTTTTGATAGAGAGGTTTGAGGCACCAAATTTTTAGAGAGATCCTCCTCCTTGTTACAAAATATTTACTTGTATTTCCACTCCCAAGCCAGTATGAAACAAACCTAAATTGCTAATTCCCCTCAAAAATTGGTCAGAAAAGATAATTATCCTCTGCCTTCAGCTCTCTCTAATAAAATGAGAGCCCAGGAGGAAAAGTGTCAGCGCACCAAAGCTTCCTGCAGAGGCGTGCGCGGACTTTCGCTGGCACAAATTAGCACTGGCTTATTTAACCAATAAAGAGCAGCTAAAAATGTCTCTGTGTGCCCTTGCTGAAGCAGGGAGCAAACAAGCACCAGAGTGTGCACTCAGATGAAATCTCAACACTGTACAAGGACTTTCAACTAGAGACAGCTGGATTCAAAATGTTCCCACAAGGCACACACATCTTCTGCTTACAGCTGAGTCTTATTTCGCAGGGTTCTCCCAAGTGGGACTATCCAACAGCCAGAGGAGAAGAAATAACAAACTTAGAAAGCAGTATTGCCAGAGGAGCCATCACAAGGTAGATCCACCTGATGCTCACAGCCATCACTGACCAGAGAGTACAGCAATGAGACTAACAAGGGGAGAAGGACCACGTTGCTGCAGAAAAACTGTAGCACAGAGCACAGAAGGTAAATCAAAAAGAGAAGACTTGCAAGACAGCCAGACCATGTGTTAGGCTTTCCTTCACCTCTGCCAGATGTTGTCAACTGTATTTAAAACCCTTCCTTCATGTCACTGTTCATTTTGGATACCTATCATTTTGTCTACACTGCGACGTTGAGAACTTGCTCGCCTCCTTCCACACATGGACACACAGCTGGAACAGTATTAGGAACCACAGCAGAAGGGAACTGAGAGTCCTGCCACCCTGGATTTCAAAAACATTTCCATACACTGCAGCTGAACTATGCTGTTGGAAAAGCAGGAGACTTCACTCATCATAGGAGGTGGCTGCATGGTTTGGTGCAGCACAATCCCTTGTCCAAATCACACAGTTTCCAAAAAAACAACCAAACCAACCCCTCAAACCCACCCTTTTTAAATATTAGCATGTGTAAGAAATCAGTGACACTTGTTTAATGAGCAGTCTCTGACCTGATGCAGTGTTGACTGGTTGTCTGGTGTAAGACACGTTAAAAGAAGGTTCTTCTACTAGTGGAGGAGGGTACATCCGCCTTCGGATAAAGAAACCGGCTCCACAACAGAACAAAACTCCCATCATCAATAGGAACCTGGGCAAAGAGAAGAGGGAAGTCAAAACCCACAGGCACTCAGGCAGCTCTGAAACCCAGACTATACACTGAGAAAAACTCAAGTATCATCTAGCAATCGTCAGCCTACGACTTATCAGGGTTTCTTGGGGGTCTAGAACTTCCTCCCAAGGGGAAGAGGAGGGGCAGGTGCTGATCTCTTCTCCTTGGTGACCAACGCCAGGAGCAGAGGCTGAGGTTGGCCATGAGGAAAAGGTTCTTCACCCAGAGGGTGGTGGAGCCCTGGAACAGGCTCCCCAGGGAGGTGCTCATGGCACCAAGCCTGACAAGATTCCAGAAGCATTTGGCCAAGGCCCTCAGACACATGGTCTGAATGTTGGGATTGTCCTGTGCAGGGACAGGAGTTGGACTGGATGGTCCTGATGGGTCCCTTCCAACTCACAACATTCTATGATGCTATGATTCTTAAATAGCTTGTCTCTTGAGAGCAGGTCTATGTCATTTGAGATAGCACACATGGGGCAGTTATGGATATATTATGGACATCTTTAGTGATCAGTACTCCTGTCTGATGTTTTCTGGCACATAAAATACAAATCTGAAACTAAAAGACCCTTAAACTTTTGGAAAGTTCATGTTCATACCTGACCTTTGCCACCAGGATGCTGAATTGAAATTGAAGGTCAGTACAGTTTCAAACTGTGTATCTTGGATACAAGCCTCGTGTTTACTCGTATTTACAGCACCGAGGCTAGCCAGGAGGTTTGTGGGGGACAAAGAGGAATACTATTCTGCAGTTGTCCTTAAAAGAAGATCCTTAGATGTTCTTAAACTGTTGAACACTGTAATTTTGTCTCCCATGGGAAATATGGTAGCTGGCATTTAAGCTCAAACCAGAAGACTGAAGCATTCAGCACTGAAGATGACAAACTTTGCTTTGTGCTTCTCAGATGGGATATACATTCTCCAGAAAAAAAGACAATTTTCCTCCAGTTCTTCTCTCAGCTCCTCTTCTGACTTGACTAAACTGAACTGTCCTCATCATTCCCTTGCCTTGGTGCTGTGGAAACAGGCACATGCAGCAAGGGCACGTCAGAAGATTTTGTTCTTCTGACAGTGGCTTTTGAGTAGTTATCAGACATGCTTGTGACTGATGCAAGCTCTCATAAACTCCAATGGTTCTTCTGCCTGTAATTGCTACCTCTTTTCAGGGTCTTTTACTGGAAGACAATGACAACTGTGCTCTTTTGGAAGGGATGGAAGTTGGCCAGAGGCCACCAAAGTTGGCCAGAGGCAAGCCATGCTCATCTCCTCTGGAGCATTCCCAGGTGTCTGAGAGGAACAGTGTGACACTGCACGGCAGCAAGAGGTATTTCATGCAAAGGGTCAAATTCTGTTCTTGTTTCTACAGTGGAAATGAGAGTAGAAGGAGGTGCTGTTTCCCTGAGCCAATATTAATACATCCCCTTCTGGCAGCGTTCCTGCAAAGAATCTGTTCTGAACAGAAAAACAGAGATGTACGACGTCACCCCAGGGACTGAGATGCAGAGCTCTTCAGTAAGGACTGCATGCTGAAATCCCACAGTCAGCTTTGGGAAATCTCTGGATTATGGGATATATCAGGCTTCTGGTTTTCACTGTTTACTCGTTTCAATTTTGAAGGCTTTTTATTTCTTTTTAAGCAGTCTTCAAATTCCACATGAAAATGCCTGAAATCAGGTTTTCTAAGAGAGCTTTTGCTTTCTCTTTACTGTCATGAGGTTTTATTCAGGTGCTTTCTTAAATTCTTCTCCAAAACGAATTTACCTTATTTCTTCATTATGCATATAACAGTGATTAGTTTAAGCTTTATCCAGATTACTGAGCTGCTGATTTCACAAGCTCAAATCTTCCTGCCTTCTTTTCCCTTGCTGTCATCTCCAGTGAAATCCTCATCGTCATAAATGTACTTCTCTTCCTTTTTAATTGAAGTCTCCATTCAGCAGGCAAGAGTATCTTAAACTCTGCCTAAATGCACAATTCTCCGTATACAATCCTCTTTTGGAACTGAGTGCCCAAAAAAATGGACAAACTTGGTAGGAGCTGGGACAGGCATAAGGAATTCAGCAATTCTGGATAAAAGCAGGGCCAGACCAGCAGGATGTGGAAGCAGGGAAGGTCAACCTGACATGAGTAACTGTTTTCAGTGTTTTCTCACTGAATTTTATAAGCAAAAACCCAAAGTCCTTGCATTTATGTGTACATATATGCATTACTGTGTACTTGCACCTATTTTACTTTAAAATACTAGGGTTGGCAATACCCTGATTTAAGTCCTACAAACAAGACAAGAACAGGACAAACATAAAATTCCCAAATGCCCTGACCTACCAAAAATACCATAGTCGCTGGATAGAGAGAGCTCTTACGCAGCATCTTGACCCACAGCAATCTTCATAGGAGCGACATCTGCAGAGACATAAAGAGAAAAGGGTGTTAGGGGAGGGGTTGTCACTGAGATCAAAAGGGAACCCCCAACTCTGATGCCACTGGCACCCCTGCCCTAGGCGTGATTTACAACATCACCATGAGCCTTGGAGGCAAAGTGTTCGAGGTCAGGTTGGACAGCACACTGAGCAATCTGATCTAGTTGAAGATGTCCCTGCCCACGGCTGAGGTTGGACTAAATGATCTTCAAAGGATCTTTCCAATCCAAACTGTTCTGTGGGTCTATGAACAAGAACAGACTACCCTTGGCCAGAGTAAGTTGTGGTGGTTTCACTGGGCTAGCCCTTGGCTAGCAGCCAACACAGCCGTTCACTCACTTCCCCTCCGCCCCCCGG